TTCGACTAAGCCGTTCGTAGGTTACACGACGTATTCGATCGACAAGCGACTGACTCGCCGTTTCGCTCGTGTCAACGTAAATTCACTAATGTCTGTAAGATCATCCTGAGTCTAATGACAAAATAATTCGATCATGAATTTAATGATTAAAATCTTTTATTCAATGATATATAGGAATTAAATGATTATTCAATGTTATATAATAGGAATTAATAGATTAATATTTCTTAAGACTTTCTCTTCAGCAACTTAATCTATTTACTCAACACGTTGAAAAAATAAAAACATTACTATACATTTTTTTTTATTTTCATCCAACACAAGACCTTAAACAATGTATGCTCGGATTTACACAATATTACGCAGTGATAGTTCAGGTTTAACTTATTTACGTAATTAAATATGCTCAATTAGCCCATTAATCAAATGGAATCGGATGAGATCTATATTTAATCGAGTTAATTAGTAATTCACCTAAAATGAAAAATAATGTGGAACAGATTGCTATAGATTTTCAATTCAGTATCTTTTCAAGTGATCTTTTCCATAAATAAATACTTTTGGTTTCTTCTGATTAATATAAATACACGCTCAAATTTTACAAATTTTACAGTTTTGATAAGAATCCTACAACAAAAAATAAAAAATTGACAAAAATTGACAGAAAAACCAAAACGATGTTAGATCTTTTGAGGCAAAATCTCTTTTTATTGACTACCTTTGTTATTGCTAATGCATTTAATGCAATGGCCGCTCCAGTACCCGGTGAAACGGATCCTGAATTGGTGACCCGTGGCGCGTAAGTACTTATTCTGTTTTCCAATATAATTGTCATTTGAAACAATTTAATAATAATATTTCATATTCACATTTATTCATCTAAAATAATAATAGGGGGTAAGTTATTTTATTCTGTCATCTAATATAATTATCTTTCGAAATAATTTCGATACTAATCTTTCGTTTATACACTTATTTATTTAATAGCCTGTAAGTTATTTTTCGGTTATTTAATATAATTGGCTTTTGAACCAATTTTAATAATAATCTTTCATTTATATAATTATTTGTATAAATAATCATAGACCGTAAGTTTTTTTTATTATCTAATATAATTATCTTTTGAAATAATTTCGATACTAATCTTTCGTTTATACACTTATTTATTTAATAGAGGGTAAGTTATTTTTCTGTTTACTAATATAATTAGCTTTTGAACAAATTTTAATAATCATCTTTCATTTATATACTTATTTATATAAATAATAATAGAAGGTAAGTTATTTTTCTGTTATCTAATATAATTATCTTTAGAAACTAATCCTTTTGATTATAACTTAATAGAACGTAAGTTATTTTCCTGTTCTTTAAAATAATTATCTTTCGAAATAATTTTGACACTAATCCTTTCGATTATAACTTATTTATTTAATAGAGCGTAAGTTATTTTCCTGTTATTTAAAATAATTATCTTTCGAAATAATTTTGACACTAATCCTTTCGTTTATACACTTATTTAAAATAATGTTAGCGAGTAAGTTACTTCTCTTTTATCTAATATAAAACATTTCGATGCTAATCCTTTCCTTTATACACTTATTTATTTAATGAATATCAAGTAAGTTATTTTTCTGTTATTTAATATAATCATCTTTCGAAATAATTTCGATAATCATCTTTCATTTATATACTTATCTATATAAATAATAATAGACCGTAAGTTATTTTTCTGTTATCTGATATAATTATCTTTCGAAATAATTTCGATACTAATCCTTTCATCTATACACTTATTTATTTAATAGACCGTAAGTTATTTTTCTGTTATTTAATATAATTATCTTTCGAAATAATTTCGATACTAATCCTTTTGTTTATACACTTATTTAAAATAATGTTAGTGGTTAAGTTATTTCTGTTATCTAATATAAACCATTTCAATACTAATCCTTTTCCTTATACACTTATTTATTTAATGAATAGCTCGTAAGTTATTTTTTTTGTTATTTGATATAATTATCTTTCGAAATAATTTCAATGCTAATCTTTTCGTTTATACACTTATTTAAAATAATATCAGTGAGTAAGTAATTTTATTCCGTATCCATTGTAATTAGTTTTTGAAACAATTTTAATACTAATCTTTATTTTATTCTATCATCTAATAAAATTATCTTTTGAAAAAAAATGGATAGTGGGGGGTAAGTTATTTAGTTCTAATATCCAATATAATTAGCTTTTGAAACAATTTAAATACTAATATTTTATTTATTTCTTATTCGTTAAAAATAAAATAGATGGTAAGTTACTTTATTCTGTTATACAATGCCATTATTTTTTAATTTAATCTTATGCGTGTCTACTTATTTTTCTAAAATCATAAATAGCGTGTAAGTATTTTATCCTGTCATCAAATATAAGTAGCTTTTGAAACAATTTTAACGCTAATCTTTTATTTACATGCTTAATTATATAAAATAATAATAGAATGTAAGTTATTTTATTATGTTATCCAGTATACTTATTAGTTGAAACAATTTTAATAATAATATTTTATTTATACATTTATTTATTTAAAATAATGAATAGCTTATAAGCATTTAAATCAATTTATTTTATTTATTCACAATTGTTTAAACAATAAATAGATGGTAAGTTATTATATTCTGTTATCAAATACAATTATCTTTCGAAGCAATTTGATACTAATCTTTCTTTTATACACTATTTATTTAAAATAATGAATAGTAGGGTAAAACTAGATTTGTTTACATTTAAATCACCATTTGATTTATTATCTATTTTAGAATTCATCAGATCCATTATTATTTATTCAAATTATTTCATGTTTACAAAAAGTACATTTTTTTAAGTTTTCAATATTCTTAAAATTTTTAATGCTAAAAGTAGTACTTTAGTCCTTTGTAGTATGATGAAAACTGTTGTAGCTTAAATTGTAGCTAGTTGAAGCGTATACTATAACTAGTTACAGTATAAATCAATTATAAGTTAATGTGATTTGTTTCTTGTTTTTATTTTATAATTATTATGATTGTTTCTTGTTCTTATTTAATAATTATTTTATTTGTTTTTTTCTAATTCTTATTTATATTTTTTAAATAAATCTTATTTCAAGAATGGTAATTCATTCTTTACAAACTTAAAAAATTCAATAATCTGTAACATTTGTTTAAGCACATTATTGTCGTGGATCATAATTAAATCGGATGAAATGAAACGAGGGATTCTATTTGACCCTCTAAAACCCACATATACTTGTTTATTGTAAATTCTACCCTAATATATATGTGTGCTGAAATTGCCCATCTTAATAAAAAGTAATTACGGCATTTCGGCAGCTGAAATTAGTCTTATATAATGTCGAAATTAATTTTCATATTTGCCGAAATTATCGCCGAAATTTTTTGACCTCTTTTTATCAAAATGCATCATATAGTGTATAGTTATTTCAGTAGATTTCATATAAGAAATTTAGTAATGCTGTAATGTTTGCCTAAAATACTTTTTTTCAAAAATAATTTCAGCGCACATGTATACCCCTAAACACCCTAAAAAAATGCACCTCAAAATTAGAGCTGCTCGATACGATAGTATCGAGGCAGCTTTTGTCTCGAATCAGCCCGTAACCAGGCATGTGACATGCCCTATTACAGTCACATGAATGACGTGGCTTAGTATTTTTGATCTTGTGTGTAATGAATTAGACTACTATAATTATGTGGTAATAATGGCGATTAGTATTGATCAGTGTAATTATGAGGTAATTATTGAGATTAGTAAATTAGAGTGGTAATATTGACGTATTTGAGTTTATTAGATTTTAGTATTTAAGCATTGTAATGAATAGAGTTAGAAATAACTCTATTTCTTTTGCGAACCCGACTTTTAGTCTGGTTTTGTCGAGCAAAATCCTAGTAAAATGAATGTCAATAAAGAAAATCCTAATAAAGAAAATCCTAATAAAGAAAAACAGGTTCAAAATGTTGATGACAAAGTTTTGGATGATCGTGCGTCCTCGTTTAGTAGTGATTGTGTAGTAGTACAGAAAAGCGTCCAGGCTAATTTTGAAGCCAATTTTGGTCGTATGTCGGTCGATGTGTTAAGGTTCTTGTGTCACGAGTTGGGGATTGCTGAATCGGGTTCAAAACAGGATCTGGTTAATCGTTTGGTTAGCGAGAGTAAGAGAAGGGAAGTTTCTGGCGACACTTTTGCTGAGAAGAATAAGGCTTTTGCTGGTGGTGAGGGTGCTTCCGCACCTATGTTTGGCAGTGTTGGTTCTTCGCTTTTTGAGCCAGTGGCTGGTTCTACTAGTAGTACGGGTGATGTTAGACCTGGGGAAAAGAGGTTTGTCTCGAATACATTAGGTAATGATCAATATCAACAAACCGCTTGGTTCCTGAATAAAACTCTAGGTTCTTGTGAAGTGAATGAAGGTGTTTGGAAGAGACGTGAACTGTCGAAGGCCAGGACTCAATGGGAGTATAATGAATGGTGCAAAGCTGGTTCGCTCTTGGACAAGGCTTTGTTGTCTGGAGATATAGAGTTTGTTCACTTGGCAAGGCAGGTTGCGCTTGAGAGGACGTATGTAGTTACGGTTGCCGATGAAGATGGTTGGAATGTGGCGGTGAAGATGGCCTCTGGCGATAGCGATCCAATGGCTGAGTTGTTTGGTGGTAAACGAGAGAAAGCTAGACTGGCCGCACAATGGTTTTCGTTTTTCAAAAGTAAGAGACCTAGAGTGGCACAAGAACAAAGTTTCGCCAGATATGAGCCTCAAGATAAGCAAGTGCAAACGTCGTTTTTTCAGGGAGTACAGCCTCTTTTGCCTACGTTGGTTCAGCCTCAACCATTTGTACAACCGTTGTGGCATCAGGCTCCTTTTCAGGCAATGGGATCTGGTCCTGTAAGTTTTGAAGGACAGTGGAATAGTCCTGGCTCTTAGTATGGGAGCAACCCAAATGTTTCGGATCAGCAAGTATCTCAAGATAGCTTCTCTCGGAATTTAGCACATAGCCCACAGATACAACTTAGTTACGGCAAGGTTCAGCAATCAGCTAGTAATTCAGGTGCTAATGGTAGAATCGGGTCGAGGGATGTAGTTTGTTTTTTATGTGAAGGCAAAGGGCATTATGTCAACGAGTGCAGTTCTAGGAAGCACTTAAATATGCCCTTTCAGGGAGACGGGTCGAAACCAAAAAGAAGCTGACTATGCTCGGGGTGTGGTAACACAGAAAAGTTTGACCCAGGAGGTGAGCGAGAGTCAGGAAGTTACGGGGAGGTTACATTCGTTTTCGGCTGTCCAGTATTGGAGGGAAGTTATAAAACCAGCCCTGATTGTTATGGGTTGGCTGGAAAAGAAAATTTCGTTATTCCCAAGAGGGGTTATGAAGTTGATAGGACAATGGGTGCCAAATTCCAGGCAGTTTTCGATGGAAGAAAACTTATGAATAGAGCAAGAGTTGAATCGTTTATGCAAGACAGGAGCAGTAGGTTTTGTGGGCGAGGGTGATTTGAGGCCGGAGTTTTTACTGGAAGTGAGCCTCATTTTTCTTGTTCTGAAGCAAGGAAAAAAGAAATTCAGGTTAGTAATAGACCTCAGAAGGTTAAATGCGACCCTCCCGAAGAAATCCTTCAAGTTCGAAGGCATGGGGTCTCTTTTGTGGACAGTCGGAAAAGCTTGGTGGGTTATAACTTTCGACTTGAAAGAGAGTTATCATCATGTGATGATGGATGATGTAGCACAAAGGTTTCTTGGGTTCGTCGTGAACAAGAAATGGTATTTCTACAGAGTTCTTTTCTTTAGCCTCAGTTAGTCCCCATGGATATTTGCAAAGATTATGAAAGCCATGGTGGGAAGCTGGAGAGTGTGAGGAATTTTCTGTGGAAACTATCTGGACGATGTGTGGGTAGCACATCCGTTGAAGGAGGTGCTTTTAAAGCAACGGAAGGAGGTCATAGAGGCAGATTTAAGGGGTTGTGGTTGGTTCTGTGCTGAAGAGAAGGGTGATTGGGTTCCGACGCAGAAGCCCAAGTTTTGTGGCCTCATTATCGACTTAGTGAAGGGTATAGTTATTGTGCCAGAAGAGAAGATTGTTGCTGTGATAGGTTGGTTGGAGAATATACTAGAGAGATCGTTGGTTCCAGCAAGGGAACTAATGGCAATTGCAGGAAAGATTCAGAGCTTGTTAAGAGCATTCTTCTTAGCAAAAGTGAAGAGTTTAGAATTTTACAAGTTGATAGATGCGAAGAATCATCTGTGGAGTGAATAGGACAAAATGGTAAGATTGTTTCCTCAGGCAATAGAAGATGTGGAGTGGTTAGTGGAAAATTTGAGAGCTTGAAATGGTTGCCTGACTTGGAAACCGTCGAAAGTAAAGGTGGTTTTCATGGATGCTTCATTGACGAGTTGGTGTAGAGTGTTTGACAGTCAGATAGCAAAAGGTTGTTGGCCTTATAGGCTTACAGCAAATCTGATAGTGCAATTTGAGGCGATTGCTGTTTTACGGGTTCTTCAGACATTTGGAGACCTTTTGTCAGGATCGTTTGTAACACTAATGATAGACCACAAAGTAGTGTTAAAAATGGTGATAAGTGGAGGATCGCTAGATTGGCAGAAGGATATTGTGCGTTTGTGTGGAGGTTGTGTTTAGAGAAGGATGTAGAGATTTTTCAAACTCTTTGGGTTCTCAGTGAACGAAATCTAGCTGATACATTTTTCAGGTTAAGAGACTTAGGGGATTGGTCTATGAAGACGGAAATAGTTGTGGAATTAGAGACTCATTGGGGAAGATTCGAAGTAGACAGATTTGCAGATCATCTGAATGTGAAATTGGTGAGGTTTAACAGTCTGCATTTCTGTCCAGGGTTGGAAGCAGTTGACTGTTTTACTCAGGACTGGCAGGACATAGTGAACTATTTATGCCCTCCATTTTCAATGATTCATCGGGCTTTAGTTCATGCGAGAAAATGCAGAACTTTCATAGTAATTATTATTCCTGTCTGGGTTGTGGCTCCATGGTGGCCAATTGTTGTGAACGCTCAGAGGGAGGAAGTAGATCTTCCGCCATCAGCAGAAATTGTCTTGCCAGGCCTGTTGGGCTTCCTGGAGCCATGCAATAATCTGAATTGGTACCTGAGAGCAATTCGGATGGATTGATGCATGTGTTATTAGATCAGGCTGAGTTTTTAGTTAATAATGCGATCAGTGAAGCATATAAGAAAAGGTTAAAAAGGGCATGGTTGGTTTTTGAGAATTTCGCTAGCAAGACGTATCGTGTCTCATGCCCAGCCTCATACATGACGATTATGGTCTTCGTAGCTTGGTTAGAAATGGCAGGTCATAGTTCGGAGATAGTTGGTTCTTTAACAGCAATCTCTAGATTACATAGGTTAAGAGGTTTACCGGATCCAACCAGGAACAGTGCGGTTCAATTTTTAGTCAATAGTGTAAAGAAATGGGTAGCACGTGATGCAGAAACGGTTTGGCCTAGATACCCTTTATCAGTGGAGGCAATAAAGCATTATTTTCTTTTTCCTCCAGAAGAAGTTTCTTACGAATATTGAATTAGGGATCTTGCATTAGTGGCTTTAAAATTAAGAATAATGAGGCGCCTGGGTGAGCTTTGTAACTTGAGAATGAAAGATCTTAAGTGGGTGATAGTTTGTTGTGGGTCTGCATTAATAAGTCTAAGATGGACCAGCTTGCAAGAGAAAAATTCATTCTTGTGGAAAGGTCGAACAGCAAGTTCTTCCAATAGGTTTGGTGAAGAAGTATATTAAAGTTAGACCAGTTTCGAATGAGGACCTCCTTTTTTTTTATCTAAATCCGGTCATGGAATGTCTGTTTCAGCAGTATCGGCTGTTGTTAAGCACATAGCAGCACATGACAGAATCAAAGAGAGGTTTACGACACATAGTTTGAGGATTGGTGGTGCTACAGCGGCGATAAAAGGGGACCTTTCCTTAGAACAAATCCAAACGATTGGTGGATGGGTCTCTGATGTCGTTAGGTTGTATATTAGAGCAATAGGTACAGCGGATTTAGGTGCTTCCAGTATTATGGGTTTTTAATGTGTTTTAAAAAAAAAAAAAAAAAAGAAGAAGAAAAAAGAGTTAGAAAGGAAAGGAAGAAGATTAGTAAGTATTTAGGTTCGAATTTTATCAAATGAATAAATTAAGGATTAATCGATAATGAGAAGCAGGAGTGCCAATTAAGGGACGATACTCTACAAGTACCCATATGTTTTTAGTAGTTAACAACAAGCGTATGAGAGACAAAACAATAGAGCTGCTAGATACGATAGTATCGAGGCAGCTTTTGTCTCGAATCAGCCCGTAACTAGGCATGTGACATGCCCTATTACAGTCATATGAATGACGTGGCTTAGTATTTTTGATCTTGTGTGTAATGAATTAGACTACTATAATTATGTGGTAATAATGGCGATTAGTATTGATTAGTGTAATTATGAAATAATTATTGAGATTAACAAATTAGAGTGGTAATATTGACGTATTCGAGTTTATTAGATTTTAGTATTTAAGCATTGTAATGAATAGAGTTAGAAATAACTCTATTTCTTTTGCAAACCTGACTTTTAGTCTGGTTTTGTCGATCCCTCCCACCCTTCCCGTATTCATTAAAAAAGTATTAATCTGTTCAATCTGAAGTTGTAAATTGATGGCCTGTCATGATGACAGTCATAAAAAAGTTTATTATTGGTCTTGTCATTCAAGTCAGCACAGTATTATTAACTAGTTGTGGCTTGTCGGGATGACAGTCATTTCAGAATTCACATAAAAAAAAAAAAAAAAAAATGATAATAATATCATTTTCGATTTTTTGAAATTTGCATGGGATGCTCGACGCGGAAGGAATAAACCCATATGTTTTTAGTAGTTAACAACAAGTATATGAGAGACAAAACAAAATACCACACTATTTTATTATAATAAAAATGGTTTATAATCATAACATGTACTAGCAGAATGATCCTCTATTGTAAATTAAATTTTTTTATATGTTGCATACTGAGTGAAGAATCAGTCATGTAGCATCAATAGTTTCTCCTGTTTAATTGTTGCATTGTCCATTTTTCTGCAATTCTGATTGACCCAAATAAGATTCAACTACAGTAATTGCAGTTTTTGAGTACTGTATAATCAAACCTAATAAGTAGTTGCTAGAGATGTGACTATGTGCAAGATGCTTATATCATCCTCATGCGAATTAATCATATGATCTCGCGTGGAATAAATTTAGTAAAGAAATTTTAGATCAATAGTTTTATCAATAGGAAAAGCTTTTTTGTACTATATACATATATATTACTAATAATTCTTTCTATATAAATAAATAATAATTTGCTTTTTAGTATCAGCTCTTTTAATTATCATGCCATAAAAAAGAATTTGGAATCATTTTACACAATTGAAGCTTGTAAATGGTTTTAATTAAAAACAAGTATGTTGTAATTATTACAATCATAAAAGAAGTAAAGATGCAAGATAATGTGAACTACATTTAGAAAAATATTGTCAATCAATATCTACTAATGTTCTAAAACAATATATTGAAATAAAAACAAATATTCAAGATATCACAACTATAGTTTCCAATTCAGCTATTACATCAACACAAAATAGTATAATTAAAAATAATTGATTATATTTCAAGTTAGCAAATTGAACAAAATGAATTTGATTTACTTTTTGACTAAGTTATTTTTTACTGTAGTCTATTATTATTATTTTCTAAAATAAAACTAATTTATATTCTTTTTAAACATACATGCTTCTCTTTTGAATTACTATTATGAAAGCAGTTTACAAAAATTTTACTAAATTAAATTTATACAAATCTTGAAGTCAAAATCAATCAATGTATTAATAAAACATATTTTTAATAGTTATTACAGATAGAAGATAAATTGAAAATGATTTAAAATTTTAATATATATTATATATATATTTACAAAATTTATTTATATACTAAATAAATCAAATAGTATTCAAGATCATTATACAAACTTTATTTTAGTAACATCTAAACTTTTATTTATCTCAACTAAACTAATAGAAGAAATTTAACAAAATTCTCAAAATATTGTATTTAATATATTGGATTTAATATAATAATGTTTTAGTAATAAAATAAGAATAGAAAATTTTAAAAAAACATTATTCTTTGGTAATTTATATAGGTTGTTTGAAACATAAACTGAATTTATTTATTTGTTTAAATTCAGTTATATTTAAACAGCTTATACTTATACTAAGTATAACAGAAGTTGTACAATATAAAACTTATTAAATTGATTAAAACTTAGTATTAATTATTAATAATAAAAATTTTTAGAATAAAACCAGTTATCTTATAGATATATCTAATTATTTAATTAATAGTATTATAATATTTGAAAATGATAAACTAAAACTATTTCAATTTTGAAAATAGTTTTGCAATTTATTAAATTCAGAATATGGATAAATAAAGTTTAATATATATATATCAATATATATATATATATTTTTTATTATTATTAAACTAGTCTTTTAGAGACTAGGGTTTTTTTATTCAGTATTGTAGGACACAGTAACTTACAGTCTGATTACCTTAGAGGAGCTACCTTACATTAGAGAGTACATCTAGTTACACATACACTTTTGGTATCTAATTTAAATAGTCTGCCTATATATAGGTTCTACACTAGCTGCTATACCTGCAACCCAACTACAGGTGTTGCCTATTTAAACTCTCTATACTGCAATCCTTACTGTTATCACTAAAACATCTCTGTTACATGATGTCAGTCGAGAAGTTCTAGATGCTTACTTATACCCTTAGAACTCCTGTCTTATTTTATGCAAATTATCCCCAAGACATTATTACTAAAGCCTTCTGTATCCCAAATTACAGCTAAACCTAGTTTACAACTCTTGTAAAGTTTATACAACCTTAGTACTCTCCTTTTACAACCTTACTATTACCTCGTCTACTCTTGCAAGTCCTCCTATACTACCAATCCAGTTAGCCCTACATGATGTGACTTCATGTCTGGATTAACCAGTGGCCAGGTTGGTGGACCCTCTACCTAGAGGTTCTTGCCTATACAGGTCACCTGCTCTAGGTTTCCTTCAGCAGATCAAGATCTTCACAGATGACATTGTCGAAAGTTGTACTACCTTTCTGCTTAGGATTTCCAAGTAGGCTTCTAATCCAAGTATATATTTTTCAGATTTATTCATGTAACATTGCACATTTCCAAAGTTAGTCTTGGTATAACCAAAATTACAGGATCTACAAACCCCAGATCACAGATAAGTTTGCCAGAATAGGTCTATTTTTTCAAAATCTGTTACCAATGAGAATTGAATATTGAACTTACTGCTTGGAGGATGACAACCTAACCACTATACTAGGATCACCATCCTCTTATATATCAATATATTTGTAATATTATACAACTAATTTTTTTTAAAAAAAAATTATTCACAATTCTTTTGTATATTCTAATTATTATATAATATTTAATAAACATTAAAAAAATTATATTATCCTGTAATTGAAGTAGTGTATCTTTTTGATTTACAGTTTATTAAATAAAAGTTAATATCATTTAGTATTTTTATAATATTAAATTTTATTTTAAAATATTATCTATATAATTTAATTCAAATTTGAAGTTAATTGATATAATATAAACTAATGATAAAATTTTTACTAATAGTTTAATATAAAATTTATCATCAAAACTTATTTTAACAATATGGTAAAAAAGAAATTATAATATTATTATACATAATTTATGTTAAATAATAGTTTAAAATTTAAATATTCTTATATCTTTTGCAATATTAGAATGCAATTAGTTTATTTTTGTAAATATTTATAATTAAAAAAAGAATTAGCTTACTTTTGATCATGTTTTAAAACTTGTATATATTTATGCTAACTACTATTTAGTTAATTAAAACATAAATAAAGATCTTAAATTAATCATAATATAATAAAAAAAATATCAATTATAATAAATATATAACAGTAGAATATGATTCAGAAACTGATAGTAATAATAAAATTGAAAAAAATGAATGTGATTAAGAAACAGATGATAAATTAAGATTAAGTTATAGTAAAAGTAATTGAATAAAATAAGTAAAATTATTATTTTATTTTATTTTTTTTTGCTTTCCTAAGGCTGTAATTATTGGTAGCTACTGCATTTATTATATTTTTAATTATAGTTATATAACTTATACAAGATGAGTATACAACTAGCCACTTGTACAACTTTTAGTTGTTTAATTTAAGTAGTCTGCTCATATAGAAAGTTCTATACTAGTTAATATACCTGTAATCTACTAGGTAATTACTTATTTTAAACACTTTGATTCTTATACTACACTGACAGATAGCATACAAGTTTCTGTACATTTATATTAGATGCCATTTAACCTAATCTTGACTTCACTTCTGTATTTCTGTCAAGTTATTACATTACCTGACTGTAAGACTAAAGAGTACCTTTTGCTAACTAATTACTTATATTTAATTCTTATTACCAAGACTTGCCCTTGCAGAGTTTATTTAGACCCTAGCACCAACTTCAAAGCATATTCCTAGTACTTATAGTATATTTCTGTTTTTGTTCTTTGACTCCTAATTCAGATAGCCCAAAAGAACTATGACCTGTTTCTGGTATTCCAGGATCTGCCTCCTAAGGTCTTTTTCTTCTGGTTCAAGACTTCTAGCAGCCTGGTTGGTAATATCTCCCATCTAAGGTTCTTGCTCTCATTGGTATTTGTTTCCTAGGTTTAGCCTTTACAGTAGTACTATCAATGATCTGTGCTACCTCTCTACTTAGGTCTTTTCAAGTAGACTCCAGCTTTTCAGTTTAGAGGTTTATATGATCACAAGGACTTATTTTGTGTTTGCATTGTCTAATGCCAGTTTTGCATTTCTCTGTATAACTCCAACATTATGCAGATGCCCCATAACCTATTAGTCATGCTGGTGTGACTGTGTTACAGGTATCTTATCCCAACTGATCAACAGAATGTTGTTGCCATAATATTGTTTATATATTATATAGGTGATTATTCAAATTTTCACTATTGATGGGTTTTGAACTTATAACTTATTACTTGAGAGGTTGACAACTTATCTACTTCACTAAGTTGCTATACCCCTAAATAAGTAAAATTATTAAGTTATAAATAAATTTATATACATTTTTTTATTAATTTAAAATAATTATTTATTTAATAACTATTAATTTACTAGCAATTAATATACTAATACTTAAATTTTAATAAACTTAATTTCACTAAAGTTATAGAAAATAAAAAAAAATTTGAATACTACTAGTTATTATAATAATCATAGTTCTTTTTTTTTTATTATTGCTATCAAAATAAAATTATTAAACAATAAATATTAATAAATAACTTTAAATAGTTTGCTTAAAATTTTATTAAAAACAATTTAATTAATTAAAAAAAAAAATAAAATTATCATTAAATACTAAATTCAAATTTTTAATTTGTTGAAATAATTGTGCATTTTGATTGAGGTCATAAGATTGTAAAATTTTTACTATGTATGTTATATGACAAGCACATCTAGTTGTATAACATTGTTATACAAAATCTAAAATAAAAGGTGAATTTTAGATAGAGTTACAGATTAAGCTGTTTTTGTCATAAGTTTTTTGTTTGCTACTATATTTAATTTTATTAATGTTTATTAATTTTATTAGCATTTTAACTTTTATAGTTTTATTTGCAATATAATTTAGATTATATATGCAGTAAGTCAAATACTAACTATGTTATCTAGACAAACTTTATATATAACTTAAATAGATTAGTATTAGTATAGTTTTGATATGCATTCTTGTATATATGTAGTCTTTTTCTAATAAATTATTTACTTTTGTTGTTATTTTATTTTATGACTTATATTTATTAATTTAGTAGTAAACTATATAAAATTTAAATTATTATTAAAATATACACAAAATTACATAGTTCAAATAAGATTATAATTATTTATTTTGATAAATATAATTACAAAGTTATATAATAGTTTTTAATTTATTTAATAAAAAAGACCAATATAAAATATTAGAACATGTTACAAAGCTATCTGCATATATTAAAAAAGTAGGATAATAATCATAAGAAGACCTTTATATAATTAACTACTTAATCAATTTAATTTTATATTATTTATACAGTTTAAAATACATTTTAAAAAAATAAACCTATAAAGAATAAACAAAAAAGAAGCAGATATTGTGAGCCCCAAAATTGGTCACAGTCACTTGTAACCAATTATTAAAATTAGGTCCCATTGTCTATCTGAATAACTGGTTATATAAAAAGTAAGAGAAATCTTACTTTACTTACTTTTATTACTTTGGTTACTTCAGGTAGAATAATGGTATATGGAGCCATCAGTTTTTAGTTATCATAGTAGGAAAAAGAGTTTTTTTTTTAAGAATAAAATATTGTAAATAGATAATGTAGAAAAAATTATTCTTAAATATAAATAAAAATTTTATTATAAATAAAGAGCTTTCTATCTAGAAGGAAAGTAACAATAGTACTTTCAAGTAAATACATTTGCTTAAATAAACTTAAAGTATCAGATCCATAGTAAAAAAAACTATAACCCAACCCAAACTAAAATTATTGTTAAAAACATCATAATTAACTATTGTTCACCTATTTGTAATCTATTAAAAGCATATTTTGTTTATTTATTACAAGTCACATAACCAAGCTGTTAATGCAAAAGAAGAACTCAAACCTGATTTAACATTTCATAAACTCAGATTAAAGAAGTAAAGAAAGAACAAGAAAAAACAAGTGTTAATAGAAAAATAGGTTAAAGGAAAAGACACAAAGAGAAAAAACAAGTACTTACCTATAGATAAACTACTAGCCAAATCTAACATGCCTATTTTGACTTAGCCATTATAAGTTAAATAAAAATTGAAAAGAATTAGTAATGAACTTGCTGATTTGTTATATAACAATATATAAAAAGTTTTATTAAAGTTGTAGAACTCTATGGATAAAAATAATCAAAATCTCTTTTTGTTTTAGAGAAGTTAGCATGATAATAACTTAATTCTATCTATTTTTAAAAAGTCACTATTATGCTAGCTTCTCTAAAACAAAAAGTAATTTTGATTATTTTTAATAGTAGAGTTCTACAACCTTGATAAAGCTTTTTATATACTTCTTTTTTGTTTATTCTTTGTAACTTTATTTATATAAAAAAGTATTTTAAATTGTATAAATAATGTAAAATTAAACTGAATTAAGCAATAAATCATATAAAAGTCTTCTTATAAAAATAATAATAATAATGTTATTATTAAATATAAATCAATTTAATTATAATAAAACAGTATAACTGGACACTTCTCATCTCACAAAAAACCATGGCTTATTACAGTACTTGATGATCAAATTATTGCTG